TTAATTTTGTATACCACTTTACATGATTGCCTTTCAAAAAAGTGGCATACAAAGAAATAGTTTTAGCCAACTTCGCCAGCGAGTGCAAAAAAATTACTACCTGATCACATATGTATAGTTACCATCTTTCTCCAGGATGGATGAAGCAGTGGGCATGGCAAACTACTTCTTTTTGAGGCTTTTTTCTCAGCAAATTACTTAACGCACCTGGTCAGTGACGTCATATTATGGTGCCTTAGAACAGGGGTGTGCAGAAAGTAGATATCCAGATGTTTTACACTTCAGCTTCCAATGTTCTTGACTATGGATCATGTTGGTAAGAGTTTCAGGAAGTTGAAGTCCAGAACATCCTCTTTTCTCCCCAGCTTTGTGTAAAGGGGTTAGGTCAATAGTAATCCAAAGTTTCAAATAGGGAATTGAGGCTGAGAGAGCATGCTTCACTAATGTTTTCACAGGTGATATTCTAGCTGGCAGGTTCCCAGTTTGCAGCTCAGTCTGTTAAGTGCTACACCATGGGTCCTCAAACTACGGCCCGCGGGACGGATCTGGCCCATCGTGCCCTTTCATCCAGCCCGCGCCGCTGCCCACCGCCCGCGCATGCTTGCCCATGGGAGGCAGTGGCTTGCTCGCTTGGAGATGGTTTTGAACTCGCTGGGAGATCTCCGAGTGAGCGAGTTGCCGCCGCGCACGCCCAACACCACCTCGCACGCACCCAACGACGCCTCACTGGCCCGCGCGCCCAGGCACCCCCACCTCACTGGCTTACACGTGTAGCTGCCGCCTTTCAACTGGCCCCCTATTGAAAAATTTTGAGGGCCCCTGTGCTACACTTCAACAGTCCCCCATTACAATAGCTGCCACCCAGCTGGCATTCTGAAAAGCTGGACAGCGGAAGGTACCTTCTGATACCATGCTAGTACAATGGTTTGGGAGCTGAATTTTCCATGGCTTTATCCCAGTCTGCCATGATAACATTGGAAATCAGAGTCATGTTATGTGTGGACCTCTCCCTTCCAATCATCTCTTTCTAAATCACTGCTGGACTAGAGGAAAGAGAATCATGGAGGCTTTGAGGAATTCTGGCAAAGTCTGCCTCTTACTGGCTGGGTCAGAGATATTACGGATTATATAGTACAGTCTTACTCTAGAAGATTCCCTTTTTTTCTTTTAGAAGGTCAAGAAATATCCATTTCTAATGCTACTATATATATTTTAAACATTGCTCATTCTGTGTCTTGGTTTTTTGTAGTTTAACCTCTCTTTGAAAAAGTTAGCTCATTGTCTGGATTTTGCCCTTTTTAGACAAGGGGCAAGATTTTTACAAGGCAAAGGGGGGGAATCAAGCCATTATGCACCTGAATGTTGAGGTCTGTGGGTAATTTTCCATATTTAATTCCTATTCTTATTTTTCAAAATTTTATGTGGCTCTAAAGACCGGATGCCCTGAAGCTTAGAATCTTACCAGTTTTTTAAAAAAGTATCTGCCTTTCATTTTTAGGTGAGACAAAGGGAGAAATACGCAAGGGAGTTGTAGTCCTATATTTTTAGATTCAAACACATACGTAATGGCATGGAGGTGCAAGCATTCTGTTCACCAATTTACCCTACTTAAACAGATGAAAACACAATATAAATGTTCATTCATTAAATATAAATATAAACAGCATTTGTCAATTTGCTGACACCCCATATTCTAGCACCAGTATTTTACAAGCCATTGCAAAATAAATTAATTTGGTGTAGAGTAGGTGGAAGAAAGTCTTCAGTGGTCTGAATACTAGGTAGGTGGCGGTGGGGGGAGCTGCAAATATTGATCCTTGGTGTGAGGACAGGAGCACGAGAAATTTGCAGCTGTGTAAAGTTACACTTTCTCAGTCTCACAATTGCAATACATTCTTAGAAATTACTTGAGGGTTAATATGGAATAGGAATTCTGGAAGTATGATACATCTCTAAAATAGGGGAAAATTCAGAGATTGGAGTCATTTGAATTAGTCATTTGCAGCCCTAATTTTACTTTACTAACTTGGCCCAATCCCAGGAGCTCCTGTTGCAGCTCCGCAAGCTGTGGCTAGAGGATTCCAGCCTTGGGTTCAGAGTGTGTTCTCTTTCAGTATGATCCCACCCCCCCCCCAGAACAAAAAGGTAATTACCCATAACTGCTACAACATCAGTGATGTAGGCTAAAGCCATTCTTTCTCAAGCTGTAGTTCATTGTATGTAATGGCAAAACTCAAACCGCCAGGAACAGTGAGAGTCAACATGAATGCCATTTTTTTCCAGAAAAACTTTCCTAATAATGAGTTTCTTGTGAGTTGCTGTCAGATTCTTTCATTTGCACTGGATTCTTTGTAGTGCCACTGAAAATATTAATCAACCAGTTTGGGTATAAAAATGGTAATGAACAGTTACTCAGGCCCCATGTCAGTAAGAGCAGAGGAGTAAGCAACAGCCGTCTCCCGGGGCTGCAGTCAGCACGACTGGATGTTTCCTATACACGTCGTCCACCTTCAGCCTGAACTGCTAAGTCCCCAAAAGGAGTTTACCTGTGCACGTGTTCTTTGCAAGACGTGATTATACCTTTGAAAGTTACCTTTATCCCCTGACTTTCAGCACACCCAGCAACTGCAGAACACCGCTTAGGGAATGGCCCAGTTCAAACTGCAGAACTACCCAGGGTTTTTACAATCGGGGGCTGTGATAAAAGCAGGAACAAGTGAGCATGCTGCCCTGCGGATGCCTGATGCTCCTGCTGCATCCAGGCAGAGCTGAGCAAGCCAGAGACACCCCATCCCAGGATTCTTCAGCGAGATACCCCAACATGGGATAGAAAGAGGTCTAACCTAAGAACAAACCACAGGTTATACCTGTGTATTGTGCCATCCCAGAGTTCGCGGCTGCACATGCCAGACAACCTGGGGATCAAGTCACCTTGGGTTGTTTAGCCCAGCGTGAGCAGTTGGGCACCCAGGCGCTAGCATACTTGGTCACTCCTGCTTGTATATCTGGACTAGGTGATTGTTAGTAAATGACTCTTAATGGGCAGCCGTCAAATATGAGTAGTAAGCTGAAAGAACTGTTGCACGGTGCTTCATGGAGGGGATCCATGGTGGCTCCTGAAGCTGGAAAAATGAGACGTGCTTAGGCCCCTTGGAATTTGATGCAAGGGATGTTAAGGTATTTCTCCAGCTCTGCACTGGGCTGGTGTCTATTCTGCAGCACCTGAAGACTGTGAACTTGAATTACTCTCTTACCTCTGCTCAGTTCTCTTTTAATTCATGCCATTATGGGGAGTGAGAGCATATTTCATTCCCTTAATATATCAGATAATGATTGAACCAGATTTGTGGAACCTGCCACACCAAAACTGATGGTCCAGTCAATTTCTAGCAGGTGCCGACTCAGTCAAGGGTGATTTGTTTCTTTCTCTTTTTTAAAGTGACAGAAATGTGCATGGCCATCCAAGCAAAACTGAACTGCCTAACACTTTTCTGTTTTCCACAGAAGGCTAAGTTTTTATCCTCGGGCAAAGTCTCCATTCTGGACTGGCTTCTGTAAATCCTCTGGGCCTTGGCAAAAGCTCGACTTGTTAGCTCGTTTTTACTTAATTTGAGGTGCTGGCACAAATTCATGCTTCAGCCCAGGGCTCTTGACTCAAGTCTCCTAAATCGGGGCATTGAAACATTTTATAGGGAAGAAACATCCTCTCTCAGGGCCTGAAATACTTTTTTTCCAAATGAGATTCTTCAAGCTGGATTCAAAATACAAGATTTTACGTCGTTTCACAACCTCTTTCTAAAAAGTTCTACTTGCAGCCAAATTTTGTCTTGTCTTGTCTTGTCTTTTACCAGTAAACATTTACAGGTTGATTTTATTCAGAGGTTTTTGAACTCTTAGCAATAGCTAAGCTTCCTAACAGCTTGGTGAAAGGCGATAAATCAGAGCTCCTCTTTAAGCCACAGTAGCTTATTTAAATTACAGTGCATGCAGGACTCTGTTTCCCTAATCACCAACTGGGTGCGGCTATTTGTGTCATTTGAACTGGGGCAGCATGGCTTGTTGGAAGGAGAAACAGCCCTCCGGTGACTCCAGAGCAACTCACAGGTTATTTGTGCCCTGCGTGCACCGTGATTTCAAGAAGCCACTATGGCTTAAATAAATAAGACTCAACCCACGATGGTTTATTTTTGATGCTGTGAAGCAGGACTAAATGTGGTGGGATGGATTTGTGCTAGAGAGCCAAGCAAATATCCTCCTAGACACATTTATCAGGAAGGTAATATCGTTTGCAATCTGGTACTGGTCACTGGGCAACAAATACCTCCTCAAGTGGGGCACCTTTTGTTTGAGCTTGTGCATCTAGTCTTTTAAAACCAGCACAGCTGTACAGTTCAATCCTAGAACTATTTTCTCGGTCAACTGTTGCTGCCTAAATTCTGCATCTCAATTATTTAAGCCATGGTGGCTCCTCTTGGTCATGCGAACCAGACCTTGGCATCCTTTCTCGGATCATGTCTTTGCCCAAACAAGCAAGTAAAGAGCTCCCCATTCCTGACTCTGATTGCCCCCAGTTGGCATAGCAGATGAATGTCAGTGCTGCTGTGGAATGGGGACAGCTTAGGCATACTGGGCAAATTGTTTATATACCTCCATTTGAGAACTGTGCTCTAAAAGTAGGGAAAGGATTGCATTTTACATAAAATATCAAGCAAGAACCTCCTGTTACATTTAATTTACAAGTGTAAGTCCTGCTTAAAATAGACCCGTAAAGATTAATGTGTTGACTCTAAGTAGGACTCGCATTCTGTTCTTACCAGTGATTTTTACTTAATAAATGCCTTTTTGATCGTAAGTGTAACTTTGTTTCTGGTGACCTATTTATAAGAAGTGTTGGTGTTTTTACGTTTTATTATGTTGTTGTTGTTGTTAATATTTCTATACTGCCTGTAGTTGAAGCTAAGTATACCAGTGACTTATCCTTTTCTTGCTTCTTACCACAGAGGAAGAAGAGGAGCAGGTTCCAACTGACGGAGGAACTTCAGCAGAAGCCATGCAGGTTCCTTTGGAGGAGGAAGGAGAGATGGAAGAAGATGAAGCTGTTAATGATGAAAATTACTTAAGCAAGAGGCCACTAGAAAGTCCAGAATCTGAGGAAATGCCTGCTATTAAGCGGCCAAAACTGGCTCCTATGAAAGGAGATGCTCTGGATGGGGCAGTGGAGCCGCGTGAACCTCTTAGTTCAATAAACGCCCAGAAAGTGCCACCAATGCTTTCCCCAGTTTGTGTTCAGGTTAGTGCTGATTTGGTTCCACCATCCCCAGAACCTCCCATATTGGCTCCCATTGCAAAATCACAGTTGCCTGTTTCCAAACCATTAGAATCAAGAGCATTTGCACCTAAAGCAAAGGTGAAAACAAGTTCTCCGGGGCAGAAGACTAAAATGCCTAAAGTTCCTCCATCTCCAGCAGTTACTGGAAGCCCCATTCGCTCACCAAAAACTGGACCGAAAGAAAAGAAATCACCAGGCCGAACCAAGAGCCCCAGAAGCCCTAAGAGTCCAAAAGTTCCAGCTCATGCTCCCCCAGTTCCTCCAGCCAAGCCGGAGACACCAAGCAGAACTCCCTTGGCAGCATTAAGTGAGAAAATGGGGAAGGAGAATATCCAAGTAAAACAAGGTTTGACCCCAGCTGACCCCGGAAAGCCCCACACTGAGAATCCAACCAAGAAAGTGGCAGTGACTGATAAGACAATTGATGATTCTATTGATGCGGTAATTGCCCGAGCATGTGCTGAACGGGATCCTGATCCATTTGAGTTTTCCTCAGGGTCAGAATCGGAAGGGGATATTTTTACCAGCCCTAAACGAATCTCTGTGTCAGAGACTACAGCACCTAAAGCTTCTGTTTCAGCCAATAGCAGTTTAAATAAAGCAGGAAGCACCCCTGTTCCTCCCTCTGGTGGAACATCAAGTTCAGACATTTCATGGACAATGGATGACTCAATAGACGAGGTCATTCGAAAAGCAAACATGGGTATTCCTGCTAATTTACCTTCAAACTTCCCTTATTTTTCATCTCCTTCTGCTTCTCCACCAACGCCAGAACCTCTGCTCAAAGTTTATGAGGAGAAAACTAAGCTGGCTTCATCTGTAGAAGTGAAAAAAAAACTGAAAAAAGAACCAAAGACAAAAATGAAAAAGAAAGAGAAGCAGAAGGACAAGGAGAAAATCAAAGAGAAAAACAAAGACAAGGAGAAAAACAAGGAGAAGGATAAAGACAAGGAAGGAGGTAAGGACTCAAAATTTCCATGGAAGAATCTCATTCGAGATGACAATTTGGACGCTTACAAGTACGAAACAAAGGACTTTGATGATGACCCCAAAGTAAAGGTAAAAGATGGCAGTACTAAAAAAGATCGTGAGAAACATAAAGATAAGAAGAAAGAGAAAGAGAAAGGAAAGAAAGATAAAGAAAAGAAAGACAAACAGAAGGTTAAGGATAAAAATAAAGACAAGGTGAAAGCCCCTCTGGTTTTGCCTGCCAAAGACTTGCCCATGGCCTTGTTCAGCACTCCAGCCATGAAACTCCCATCACTGATGCCTCCGCTCTCGTCAGTACTTCCAGAAAAACTATTTGAGGAGAAAGAGAAACCCAAAGAAAAGAAAAAAGATAAGAAGGAGAAGAAGAAGAAGAAAGAGAGAGAGAAGGACAAGGAGAAGGAAAAGAAGGAGAAGGAGAAGGAGAAGAAGGAAAGGGAGAAGAAGGAGAAGGAGAAAGAGAAGCACAAACATGAAAAAGTAAGCAATTGGTTGATTTGGGGTCAGTGGGATGGGCGTTTACTGCTCAGCATTCCAAGTGTCAACAAGATTAGATCAACAGAAATAAAAATTGGTAGCATTCTGCAACTGTAAATCCATCCTAAAAATAAAATGACACAAAAGCGGTTCACAATTGTAAAGCAGAATCTTAATTTCAAATATTGAAGGAATTGGCAGATCAGTAAGCCCACATAATTTATGCATTTTTCAGTAATACCAGACCTCTGCAGCTTTTAAAATCTGGCAGTGTTCACAATCATTCTTAACGTACTACCAATTCATGGGGAGTGTCCATGTTATTGAATAATTTTATATAGTGTTGTTCAAAGTAACATTTAAAATTTAATTCTTGTCGCAAGTAAATTACAGTCCAAATTTGCCCAGGACAACCATTCTTGTGGGGCTGGGAAGAGAAGGCAAGGGGTAACATGAATCAGATGCAGATAAACTGTGTTCATTCTGTCCTTCCTGTCTGGTGCATAATTTCACTTGTCACTGTGAAATATCTTAAAATCATGTTGTTCACAGTGTGCCATTTCATGAACAGTCACAATTTCACGATGTCACCATTCACAGTGCCATCATTGGGATTGTTGCTACACTTTTCATGGGCAGCAACATTCCTTTCTTCCTCCACAAACTAAAAATAGTTTGGACTCTGAGAAGTTATCAGGAAAGGCCCATAGATCAGTGGTAGCACCTGCCTCATATATAGGTTGGAGAAGATTAAATGTTGGAGAAGTTCTTGTGAGCTACATTCCATTGGTGAGTAGAACTGAAAGCAAAGGTGGCAGGCCCAATGGAAAAAGGGGTAAGGGGGGAATAATAAAAGAGGTCAACTTATTTCAGCTTAAAGCTGCTACTGTAACTAAGTTGTAGTTGAGAAAGGCATTTCGACCTTTTAAAATGGGGGGGAAAAACTGCACAAAAATGGGGAAACCACCAAAGAATTAGAGATGGAGGAAGGAGGATGTCTCCCGGGGAAAGGAGAATTCCAGGGACTGGTTCCAGGGGAAAGGACTGCCAGATAGGGCACCTGGGCTGGAGGGTCCCCGCCAGTGGGCCACATCAGCCTAGGTGTACAAGACAGATCCATACCTTTGGTACTGGCATTCCAACATGCCAAACTTGCAGGGAAATTGGCTGTGGAAGCAACCTATTTCAAATGCTGTCTTTTTGCTAATGGAAAATGTTTTCAGCATGGAGATAGTGAGTCTTATTCATATGTACTACTTGGGACTCTGATTTGTTATTCCTTAGTATGCACGCTGACAATCCATGGACATAAAACTGCCAAAATTATTTTTTACCAGCTTGCTTCTATGAAATTAACACTGGAAAGAGTTAGGATAGCCACTTGTATTAGGGGTTACATGAGAGGTACATTGGTAAGACGGATCTTTGTGAAAAATATCTTTAAGAAACAAAAATATTTTTGAAATATTTCATCCTGGGCAAGAGTGTTGCCAGCTCTCAAAATGTTCAGGGCAGATGACAGAAATTACTTAAAATGTGTATATGCTAATTTATATGTATAGACATTTAGAAATAATTACTAAGATATATTTAAATTGCACAGAAGGCAAGACTGGCTAATTAATATCCCAACCAAATTGCCCCAAATAAAATAAATCCTCCAGTTAATTTGCTCTCACCTTCCTGCAATCGCCCTGAATCAGTAGTTCCTCTTCAATTACAAATAATTTGCAATAGCTGTCATGCAGCATGAAAAAATGCACTAAAAAAAGAGTGGCTGGTAGTTTTTTCCAGGAGCGTCTTCCCTAAAAATTTAAACTATTGTACCAAACTGGAATTTCAGACATTTGCTTTAACACTAATCCAAGGGTGAATCAAGGGATTATCTCCATTAATTTCCCCATTCTCACCCAAATTCAATTCCAGTAAACGATTACACTTCATTTAATAACTCCTTTACCAGTTATCATGGCTTCCATAAACTAAATTGAGAACAAAATACAATGATACATGGTTCTGTTCAAGGAAGGTCAAAATGCCGGGCTGGTGAAGGGAGATTGAATGTTGGAGTGTGGAGCGAAGAAAGTAGAGCAAACATAGCAAATAAAATTAGGTGGGAGAGCAGAAGGGGAGACTGGAAGGATGGGTGGACAGAAGAGGCAGGTTTAGGGCAGGGGATCAGAAGCAGAAGAATTCTGGAGTCATGATTGGCCAGCAAGAAGACATACGGAGCTTGGAATGAGAATGGAGAAGGGGAGTCGGATCTAGTGATGGAAGAACGGATCCCTTTCTCTGTTCTGCGGTTGCTAGAGGCTGAATCTCGATATGGCAGGGAATTTCCTTTTATCTCCCATTGCACACGCACATCTTCTCTCCACATGGCACCATGCAGGCAAGGAGACTCACAAAGATAAAGAAGAACCATATATCCCTCCAACCCCCCCGCCACACACACACATCTTACAACTAGACTCTAACACACACTTGGCATAGCCAAAGAAAGACCTCCTGCTAAAAGTTATTTATCCTTTTTGTAAGTCATTATACATATTTTGCTGTCTCCCATTGATCTTTATCTGTCTCTTCCCACATTTCTTTTTCCTAGAGGAAAATCACTGCCACCCACACAATTAAACTTGGCCAAATATCCAATGGCACCAATACAAGTGGCTTTTTGCTAATTTAAATTGCCGCACCTAGGGTGATATAGAGGGGGGTATCAAAGTGTTCCTTCCCTGACTTTGATACCCCTCCCCTAGAAATCCAACCACCTCTCTTCCCCAATATGGCAGTTAAACTTGGGGAGGGGGAAAACTTTCCATTGAGACCAATGGCAAGTTATTTTCTAAGTTCAATTGCCATGTTGGGGGAAGAGGTAGGATAAGATTACATTGCAAAGGGTCTGGAAGGTTAGGCCTTCTCTTCTTAGCTGCTCCCTCCTGGAAATCAGTGTTCCTACAGAGCAATTAAGCTTAGATAAAATACCTTCTAATTAGTCACAGTGGAAGTATTTTTTGCCAAAGTTTAAGTGCCGTACTGCAGCAAGTGGGAAAGGAATGGGGGGCTCTTTCCTCCTTATCTACCGTCCTCCCTGGAAAATTCCCATATGGCATATATTCCCATATAAGTTGAGAAAAAGCTCTCTGTTTATACCAGTGGATACATGGGATTCTTGGGATTTGACCCATCGCACTAGAATATCAGGACAGCAGACAAAAGCCATAAAAACCAAATAAGCCACATATGCCTGTCTAAAAGTCAGGGCGGAGTTGCCAGGGATAACTGATCCATGTGAGCTGCTTCCAGTTTTGATAACCTAGGAATGCCTCATTTCTAGGTTGTTCCATGATGTCTGAACCTGAAACTCTTTAGAAGATAGACCAGAATTAATCTAGCAACGAAACATGAGCAATGTTTGTGCAAACTCTGCATTATTTAGCTATGAATAACCCAGATTTTCTGAGTTTGGCCATGATGAAACAACCCAGAAGTGAAATATTCATGAGGAATTGATTAAAACTGGAAGTGGTCCGTGTATGATGTTTGTCCCCAACAATTCCTGGGTCAGACAACCCAGGTACTGCATTGTCTTGGTTATCCTCATTGGTTCACCTTGCCTACTACTTTCTACTTTCAAGGAGGCAATATGCTTTTTCTTTGTGAAGGAAAGTAGATTATATAAAGCCCGGGGTAATCTTAGAATAGAGGACCTAAAGAGAGAAGTGAAAGCTTGGCTCAATTACAAATTATCCAGGATGCACTGGGGAGAAGGTGAATGAGGAGGTGCTTCCCTTCATTGGAAAAACAGATTATTCAGAATAGACCAGATTTGTGTAGCTACCTACTCTTGTTTTCATACTTCTCCCTTCCTGGTCTCTATTTTTATAAATTGTGGACTTTCTGGTAGGAAATCACTTAGAATTTTAAACCCATCTTGTAGCCCAATTAGGTAGGCAATCTTATCTACCTAGTGGGGAGCCACATATAAATAGGTATCTGTATGTATAGTTTTTGTAGGAAGGGCATAACTAATCATAACCAAAGCATTCACATGATAACTGGGAGAAGTTGCTGTTATACTGCAAATAGCAACATGCAAAGAAACTCTAACATAGTTAAAATGAAGCTAGACAAAGTGAAACAGTTGCTCTCTTCCCATTCCTGGCTAGCTTGTCTCTTGATTCAGAATTCAGTATAACATTAGGACTATAAAGCAACAATATAACCTATTAAAATCTATTCTTTATAGCCGTAAAATATGTTTTACTATAGGGAAAGCAATATAAGCTTGGGCAGATTACATTGACAAAGCTTCCTGTTACCTTGGTGAAATTCTCTGTCAAAAGATAAACTTTAAAGCTAGACTGCATGAAAGAGTCCCTAGATAGAATTAAAATTTAAACTGATCTCAACAGATAAGCTTAATAATGATGATGATAGTGGTAATAGTAATAATATGGGGAAAAGTCCACCTCTTTGCTGCAAGTCAGGATTTTGAAAATAAATTTTCTCCCTTTTAAATCTCTTGAGTGATTTTCATTTTTTGCAAGGCTGCTCTGCTGGTGTCCTGGAAAAACGGAGAGTTAGAGCTTTATCAGTTGGTGCCCTGAGGTATGTGGCAAAGAAGCTAAATCCTTGAAGATTAACAAAAAAAATGCAGCACATGGCAATAAGGGGCTTATATGACTACTAGTATTAGTTCAGGTGAAAGAAGTATTGCTTATACATAAAACTGGACAAATCCACTGACAATATATTTTAGTTAGCTACAAAGGAGTCTTATTTTGCTGGACTTTACCTCTTTGGTGATTTGGGAAGCTTAATAATCCACTGTAAATGCTCTTCTGCTGGCCCGAATTCCCAGTATTACTCCAGAATTGCAGCTCTTTAATTTTTAACCACCGTGAGTTCATGTTCCCTTAACGTCCCTTCTTTTAATAAAAGATCAGTCCCAATCTCTCTCTCCCCCTCCTCTCTCTCTCTCTCTCCCTCTCTGACTTGCTCTTACATTCTGCCTCACATCTATAAGTGTGCAGGTTCTGCTAGACTCTAGTTCTTTGCATGAATATGTTCAAGTTACTAATTGGATTCTTAGCATTTCAGATTATCATGTTTGAACAGAAATTAGGAAAACAAAAAAGTTGACTCCAAAAGTCAACAAGTTCCTGACTTTTCTTTTTCCTGTAAAAGCTCCTTTGTCTGGCTTTGTTCTCACAGCCTTGTCATTTGTGGCTACCGAACACCATAAGGCAAGAGCCAGCGGGCCGGTTTGAGGGCTAACTAAATGTTCACACAGCAATTAACTTTTTTTCCTCCCTGTCTCATTTTATTAGACCTTTGCTCTATGAAGCTGATTAGTAGCAGATTCTGTACTTACAATGGGATGCCCTTCACCTAACATGGAACTCAAGTGGTGGTGATAGCTACTAATGTAATAAATGTGGCTAATTTGTGTAGAATAGATCTGCTGATGACTATTAATCATGATAGCCCAATATATAGAGGCAATGGCCTGATTTGAACATCACAAGCATCAGAGTTTCTGAAACAGCTGCATTGGTGTAACACAGCCAGAAAGTACAAGAGTGCTGGTTCCTGGCAAGCTGGATATTAAGCAGCTCCAAAGTACTCCATCCCCTGGGTCCTTAAACATGATGTACAAACTGGAAATTCTGGGTTGTTGGGAAATAGCAACACAGAGTTGAAACTCAGTGCTGCATTCTCCCAGTCTTCCTTCTGTGTGATCAAATGGAAGAACTATGTGCATAATGTCTTGAAAGATTAATTTCCTATATTTTGGGGGTTTTGAAGGCCCTTGGGCAAGACCCCAGTGGGTGCCTCCATGAGTAAGTTGACCTTACTCACTGCTCTTGTCACTGGTGGCTATTGCTCCTCGTCCTCTTTCCTGTCATTGCTACTCCTTGCTTGCTTGACAGACAGAGAACCCTGAAAAAGGTCACTGGGCAATTTTCTTCTTGTTCACTCATTTCCAGAAAACTGGGGTTTGTCAGCAGGTCCTGTTTGCAGCCTTGTAAGTAGGCAGAGAGCGGCATCTACCGCTTCTTCATCTTGTCCCCATTGTTGCCTGGGCCAGTGTGAAGAGGCAGGCAACAAGCAGGTTGCAGCAGTGAAGAGTGGGAACAACTCCAGGGCATTCTTGTCACTGGGCCCCTTCCAGGGTGTGGGCTCTTGGCAGGTTCCCAACTGTGCCTACCCAGATGCCAGCTCCGTCTAGCTCCATGCAGCAGTGCGGCATGTTTAACATCTCAATGTATTCCCTTTAGCAGATCAAAGTGGAACCTGTTGTTCCTGCACCATCTCACGTGATTCCCAGGCTGACACTGAAAGTTGGGGCTGGGCAGGACAAGATGTAAGTACACATTAAATGCATTTGATGAAATCTTGCTGGGTGGTGGGTGGTTTCATCAGCTCATTTTGCTTCCTGTTTGTGCAAATCCTGTGTAAGAAATGGTGCCCATTTTTTTTCTTTTTTTCTTTTATTTACCATACCAAGGTTTATTGTCGAATAAACCCTTGTAGGATATGGTAAAAATGGGCACCATTCTTAAATGGAAGCTGCCATTTTTTACTAATGCATTTCTTGAGCAAATGTGCATATGAATTGGTTGCTAGAATATTTATAATGTTTCATTCTGCACCTGTATAGAATATTTATACCACTCAGTGGCCTACTCCAAAATCTCAGATTGTTCGGCATCCATGCAAATCAAAGGTGCTTGTTGTGCCTGTTGTGCTCTGTACGCGTGCAAGACCATGAAGCAAGAGCTGGTGCTTGAAAAACTTAAGTGCCCAGAATTTTCCAGAGGGAAAGTCAAGTTCCCCCTTCTTTCCTCATGAGGTTGACAGTTTAAATGTTTATAGTTTATCTCATGGTAAATAGACAAGCTTTGGTGTCTCCAGGCTTGACCTCAAAAGTCAGATCTTTTCTTCTTCTTTTGCAGAAGATCAGGATTTGATAGCAGGTCCAGTTCTTACTTTTGTGATTTAGTAGGTTTTCACACATTTATTAGTATAATGTTGTCTGTAATAGTAATACTCTATTCATTGTCAAAACATTAATATAAATATATAAATTATAATACTGTTAAAATGTCCAAAAAGCCACAACAGGAGGGGCCTCAGTGGATACCTCCTTTGCAGATGAAAAGTGTGTCCGGATCAGGGCCTTGTGAGATGATAGAAAGCTGCAAAAAGGACTCATTTAAGCGTTTCCTAGCCTAGTTTCAACTCTGACCTTTTCATGTAAGAGTGAAGCCCATTTGTACAGTTAACCTGCTGATTCCTTTGGGCTTAATATTTTATATAGCCAGCATTTATACCATATCCTAAACTCTGGACTTTGATTGGTGTTCAAAGAGGAGTGAAGGGAAGCAGCACTGCTGGAAAGAAATGGGTTGATTTGAGGAGATGTACAGATGCTATCCAAAGGACAGACTTTAAAATTGTTGGCACTGTTTAAGGAGAGCCAGTTACTTGTGGCTCAGCATCCCCTGATCTGCTTCTATGAAAATCCATCAGTCCTTTCTTACAGCATGTTTCTGTACAGAGAAATAGGTCGCCACTTTATAGGTGTTTGTTCTTTTCTGCTTAGACAACAGCCAGAAATAGATGTTGGTGTTAGTTGCAAGGTCATGCCCGACCCATCAAGACCCCATGGACAGCATTCCTGCAGGCTCTCCTGTCCTCCACTATCCCCACCATCCCCACCCCAGTGGATGTGAGCTTGGGTGGACTCCAAGGGATGGTGGAGGACAGAAGAGCTTGTCCTTTGGTACTGTCCATGGGGTTTTCATGGCAAAGATACCGGAGTGGGTTGCCATTTCCTTTTCCAATGGATCACCTCTTGTCAGAGCTCTCTGCTATGACCTGTCCATCCTGGGTGCCCCTGCACGGCATAGCTCATAGCTTAATTGCGCTACACAAGCCCCTTCACCACGAAAAGGCAGTGATCCATGAAGGGGTTCTAATCCCATACATTTATTTAAATGTTCATCTAAATTCCTGGCATTGCTTTATCTAAATAGAGAACTGTCCAGTACAGAAACCTAGGTTTGCTACCAGTCCAAACTCTCACCCTCCCCAAATATGCCAGATTATCATCAAGTCCATGTTATATAGCTTTCCTTCCTTCTCTCCACTTTTGCTCTCTTTTCATCTGTGAATGACAGCTTGCTCCCACAAGCAGAGGGTTGGTAAATTTCTCTCCCCACCTCAGCACCCTTTTCCCAACAATATATTTCAGATCACCATTGATTGCTTCTCAGGAGCACCCATATCTCTGCTTATTTTGGTAAGGTAGAAAAGAGGGAGGAGAGCAACGTTCCCAAACAATTTAGAGCTGGATATCTTGGTCCACCTTCACTAGTGCTTCCACATGAACAAGCCCCTATATTGATGTGATTGTCAGAGGTCCTTCACTGGATCCTTTCCCCCTCGGAGTTAGGTGGATGGCTACCTGAGAATGGGGCTTTCTCTCCACTGGTTCACTGGCCCTAGAATGCTCTCCTCAGGAAGATTCCAAATTTAAAATCTGTTTGGCTCACTTCCTTATCCCTGGGTCTGCCTAGCTGCTGAATGGTATGACTACTGGTTTATAGTTTTACTAATTTTCTTGTTTGTTGGGGTATTTTGGGTTTTCTCCAGGGAACCGAAAATTCTTGTTTGAATTGAAAGTGAGATACCAAATATTTTAAGATAAAATGAGCTGTTCTTTGGCCATTTACCCTCGAATGCATCTGTGAGCAGGCTTTTGAACTTTGCTCAGAACCAGACTTTTTTCTTACTTTTCTCTGTGTCTTTCTGCATGGCATGCAGTACACACAGGCTCCTGTTTTTCATTTCAATGCTTTCGCAGAACCCATGGTCTTCTGGCTCACACAACAAGACAAGCCAGGGGTTGAATATGCACATTCCACCTAGCATGCACTGCAGGTTTCAACAGTGAGATCTTCTGATAGTGCAACCAGGTCTCCATCTCCCTGTCTCTCCCTCTGTCTCTTAACCTTAAAGCACCACTCATGATATCTTGAGATATCTATACTTCCAAGGGTCCTGTGTCATCCTGTGTTGGACTACTGCTCCCATTATTCCATCCAACCTATGGAGGGCACTAGATTTTGGGAAATTATAATTTATATAATTATAACAGCTGCAGTGGGAAGGAGTCAAGCTAACAGTTGAACTGACATTCTGAGAAAACCCGGATCCCAGCACAAGTATCTCATTATTGGCCACTGAGGGCACCCTTTAACTGATTGTTCAAGCGATGATTAATTATTTTTATATGAGTATTTCCATGTACTGCATTTTGCATGTGCCACCTCAGAAGAACTGTATTTTTCCTTTTTGTGTACAGAGGAAAATGCCTCTTCTAAGATGGTCCCTGTTGTGATCTCTGCATGCAATCAACTAAAAACAAAGAGAATGCGTTTCCTTTTATCTCTTGCTTTATGAATGAATAAATCCATACAGTTAATTCAGTGAGGTTCCTATAATCACCTAACAGCCCTTCTGTCTTTTTCATTGGGTGGGCAGGGCTACATGAATATGAATTAGCTTCATTTTAAAAGTGAGTTTCCTTTGTAATGCTGTAGATCCGCGCTCGGGTTGATGGACATTCAAATGTGGCCCTTCTAAACAAGTGTGACAAGGTCTTTGGGAAGTGTTATATTTCAAGCGGCAGTTTCTTGCAAGTGCTTTAACCGCACAGTAAAACCAAGTGGAAAACAGATTATAATCAGAGCGTTTCTATCTTTGTAGTAAACAATTACAGCAACACTTGCATAAATGCCACATTAGAAAAAATTTACTGGATTCCATTCTAATGCAATTAAAGCTAATTTTGTTCTTTAAATGAATAAAAGGTCAGCCAGTAAATCTATTTTATCTCAAGCCCAGGCCTCAGTAAATTGTTTTATTTAATTTGTTGTGAAAGATCTTATCCTTAATGGATCCAGGACATTCGCTTGTTGGGGTTTTAAGAAATCTGACTGCTTTTCTATATGATTTGAATGATCAGCTAGTGCATATGTGAGTGTTTTGTGCTATGTTATCATGTCTCAGGATCACTAATTCAGTCTCTATTCAGAGGCGTTTAAGATTGGTTATCTAACAAAGGCTAGAGTGGAACTCCTGAACATAAATTACCAATAGATTTTCAAACACATACCATGTATTGTTGTCACAAACTGGCTTATTAGCATAATTGTCTGATAATCATTTTGCTTAGATATATTAATATTTCACACAGAGATAATTATTTCCTGCCAATGGGGATTCTTTAGTTTTCCCATACACTGCTGTAGTAAGAAAGATGCTTGACTTGCACCAGAAGACAGAGTTGGTCCATTAGTGGCCAGGATGCTTCCATGAATGAGACAGTCTGATAAGACAGTGAAAGCATCACCTGAAATGCCCAGAGGGTTAAAGGTAACCAAACACCCTGTGGTCATGCCCAGGGATCCACATCTACATCTCTTTCACTTTAAGGGTTCACCAAAATAAGAGAGATTAGAGTAACCCTGGGTAAGGGTGAAGTCACCCTAAGGAGCTCTTTAGCCTTAAGAGTGTCTTTGATTCAAATCCAGGATCTTCTAGTACAGAAAGGCAGCAATTTGATAGACGCGGGAGGATCATAAGGAAATAATCTATTACTTCTTTGTCCATATACTATCCTGCTTCTGGAAGAACATATAACCCCAAAGTTTTTTTTGATGGGAAGCATGTTATGCTTGGACAGTACAGAACAGCATAGTTTTATTTCAGTGATGCTTATATCAGAATATCTCTGATGATCTCTTCTTACCTCCAGCTTTTGGTGGGACAATAGTTCTCCTCTGCAAGGGTAAATAAGTAAGCCATTGTAAGGATTCTTTTTGAACTCAGTGTGCCATTTAGCAACAAGTTATTCAGACTTTGGTAATTTAGATTACTGGCTTCATAGTGTTTGCCCACAATAGCCAAATAATGGGGCTCATTAAGCTCCCTGTGTAGGCCTATCCAAATTGTGTTTGCCTCTAACCTTGGCTGTCTATGTATGGCTGGGGAGGAAAGGATTGGCTCTTTATTGACTTGTCAGGCAGTGGGATTGCGTTACAGGCCAGGCCGCTCACGACCCATTCCATTTAGTTCCCTGTTTTGTGGTGGGGAAACAGGTAAAGCGATCCCGCTGGAAAGCCCCTGCTCCTGCACGTTTTCATGAATCGGACCAGTGTTTGCCGCCGCTAGGGCACCGTGACCAAGTCTTCCACGAGCTGTAATGCAAGCAGGAGGGGAGCCATTGTGGGCCGCAGCTGTGGGCGGTGTTGGTTACCTTGCGAGACGCGGCCCATTCAGCAGAGCGCTCTGAGT